GAGCACTTTTCCTGCAGTTTTGCTCAAATACTCATCTACCAACGTTTTGCAGATATGTGCTCATGTTTTATCCCTTCTCATTGGCTCACATGATCCAGAGGGAGGCTCTAGGTCTATAGATAACCACTCAAAGGTTACAGTCAAACACTATAAATAGGTATACATGAAAAAATCTAGCTACCACGACATCGTTAACAACCTTGGAACTCAGTCGGTCAGTCGATTGACCACAGCTGGCAATAAGGCACGCCTTCACCAGCAGGCAGATGCAGAACTGATTGCAGGTAGCAAACGACGAAGAGGACTCCGTGATGCGCCTATTTGATGTGGAAAACGAATAGCTGCTGCCCTAGCAATGCGTCGCACATGTGTTGATATGAACGATATGCCAACGGGCCGAAGAATGTGATACCTCGGGGTAATCCTGACATCCACTCACCTTTGCCTTTATCCATTGATGCATCTACCTTCTGCTGCCCACAGTGCTCCTTTCGCGTCGAAGGTGGCAAAGTGAAGAGTCAGAGTCTTCTCCCTCGTCGCTTTGGCCATGGCTGCTTTTACGAATAACGCTATGGGATGTTCTATTTCCGCTCACTTAGCGTTTATCTGAACTGGGTGCCTCGGTGACATGGACAATGGCCCAGATTGGTTGTCGCAAGCAATTTCTTATTGTAAGGTTATTCCCAATTGCCTTCACGCCTATATGCCATTCCCACTAGTCAGCTACACTGAAATGGTGTTCTATCACGGCAGCGTATCACTGAGACAACAGGTAGTAAGATGAAGAGCTTTGGCTACAACTACCACGATATAGATGAGGAACTGATTGCATTGGTTCCTGTTTAGTAGTAGCAGATGACTTTTGTAAGTTTCTATCCTTTTATAGCCAATATCAGGTAGGGGAAACCATTGCCGACGGTCAGTGAAGTACGATTTGCGCTAGGCAACTATGATGGCCAGACAACTGCACTGCATTTGAACACCATGATTCCTGCTGAAGAGGTAATTGCATTAGGAGAAAAATGGAAGGTAAAAGAGGTAATAGTGAGGATGGTGGCAGATTGCTTATCAAAAAATGTAAAAATTTCTACTGTTTATTATGTTTGCAGCATGATAAACAACACCACCTGCTGCCTACTGATCCAATCATTTGCCAGTACACGAATGTTAGTCCGTGGATTAGACGGACACTCACAGACTCAAGATGTCAGAAATACTAAGCGGCAGAATTGGCGACATCGTGTTCGTCCTCTTGGCAACATCCACCAAGTGTAACATGTAGGCAGGAGTTTATAGGCATCGCATGGTCAAGATCGCTAGTTAATTCCACAAAACTTCACTACATAGGGTCGAGCCTGCCTCCTCGTCCAAATGTTTCCAATACACTGTGAATAAGACAATCAGGGAGTTCTGAGGGAGATTTGTAACTGCAGGGCTGTCAGGCAATAATAGTCCCATATCTCTTTGACCCTCTGGATGAAGGTAGGTAATTCCTCAAGTGAATAGATTCTCGAATCAAATGTGGCCACCCCTGAAGTCGTAGCATCAACACACCTGGCATCAATCATGTCAACATGGATGCGTCTCTCAAAGTCCCGCTTCACCACTCACAAACGCTCTTATCAGATTTACCTGAGGCGAAGCATAAAGCAGCAATTAAGGACTATGTGACTGCTGAATACTCACGCGAATGACTGCCGAGACTGTGGACTTGGAACGCATACATCACCGCAGGGCTCGACACCGTCGAATAGAATAGCTGTCGCTTTTGACGCCTATACACCATTCCACTTCTAACAGCTGAGCAACTCAGTGCCTAAATGAGTATTTTAGATGTGTGCAGGTTCGTGCTTAACGCCTTTGTTTGTCGAAGGCTTAATTCAGCACCCTTCATGCGCTGTTGTATGCATTCACTCACTACCATTTTGCTT